GCCTGGTGTAATATTTACTAAGTGACTGAGTATGACTGTTTGCTGGAGACAGACCTCTCAGAACAGGGATTGTCCCCAGAAAACAGGGACATATTTTTTTAAAATCTGCAGATAAAAAAAAAACATTATAAATGACTTTTATTAACACATTGAAGCTTAAATCAGATTTTAGTGGCTGGGTTTATGTAGATTTAACAACCAGCAGCTTATTATTTGTGGCTTGTGGCCAACGCTTTGTGTTCAAAGGCCAGTGCAGAACAACAGATGAAATAACACGGGGTTAGTTTTGTCAGAAAATATCATGTCTGAGCATACGTACATGGCTGACTGAAAGGCTTGAATTAAACACCCCCCCCCCCTTTTTTTTGTTAAATAATTTGAAGCACATGCCCTGAGTGAGGTTACATTCCCAGATAATGGAATCCTCATGGGAGCTGCATGTCCGCCCTTCCGTTACCTGGGGCTTGTATGCACTGGAAGCCATCGCCGGTGAAGCCGGGGTTACACCGACAGGAGAAGGATCCCGGGACGTTGAAGCACGTAGCATCTGGGTGACATCTGCGTTCCGCACATTCATCAACATCTGCGGGAGAGATAAGACACGGAATTACACTTGTACATGACACAGCTGCCAGTTACATGATCTCAGCCGTGTGTGTGAAATCCTACTGTAAACCTTGCAGTGTTTAACTAAATGGGTCGTGGAAAATGCCAGCAACTGGCCGCTGTTGAGATTATGCCGGTGATGACATTAGCCAGGTGTCCTTTGAAGAAGCTGCAAGAAAGGCATGCCTGGGCATTTCTCATACAAAGAATCATCTGCAGGTCGGGGGGACATACTGGCAGCCATTTTGTTCGATCAAATCAACCAAGATTCAGATCAGTATATTTATTTCAGGTGCTTATATAGTGCCGTCAATTTACACAGCGCTTTACATATATATTGTACATTCACATCAGTCCCTAACCCTCATGAGGGTACAATCTAAGGTCCCTAACCCTCAAGGGGTGTACAATCTAAGGTCCCTAACCCTCAAGGGGTGTACAATCTAAGGTCCCTAACCCTCAAGGGGTGTACAATCTAAGGTCCCTAACCCTCATGAGGGTACAATCTAAGGTCCCTAACCCTCAAGGGGTGTACAATCTAAGGTCCCTAACCCTCATGAGGGTACAATCTAAGGTCCCTAACCCTCAAGGGGTGTACAATCTAAGGTCCCTAACTCACATTCATACATACACATACTAAGGACAATTTAGACAGGATCCAATTCACCTACCAGCATGTCTTTGGAGTGTGGGAGAAAACCGGAGTACCTGGAGGAAACCCACTCTGGCACAGGGAGAATATGCAAACTCCAAGCAGGTGGTGCCGTGGTTGATATTCAAACCAATGACCCTAGTACTGCCAGGTGGAAGTGCTAGCCATTTAGCCCCTGTGTAATTCCCTGTATGAGAATTGCCCAGGCGTGCCTTCCTTGTAGCTTCATCAAAGGACACCTGGATAATATACGCATAGCTATTATTTTTATCTGCTGACCATGATATTAAAGTCATTAATGCTTTTCTCTGGGAATAGGTGCAGGTAGTCCCCCCTTTCCAAGTCCAAGTCACCCTTTGTCTCCACCCCCTGCCCACCTTCAAGCACTATCCCTTGGTTCCACCCCCTACCAACCCCCCAGTATCGCCACTTTTAGACAATACAGAACCAAATATTTTGTGGTGCAATAATTTGCGTAGAATTTGTTAATGAGAACAAGAAAAGCAGTAAAATAGATCCCCTGCAGCCAGCAACAATAAACTCCCCCAGCAACAATAAACACCCATACAGCAACAGATGATCCAGCAATAGATCCTCCCAATTGACAATACACCCCCTACAACAAAATCCCTCACCCAGCAATAATAGATCTCCAGCATCAACAGATCTCAAAGCAGCCAGCATCAAATAACCCTCCCCCAGCCAGCAACAACATCCCTCTCAGCAACAAACGACCCCCCCCCCCCCCCCCAGCAACAATAAATTCCCCTCCCCTGCAACAATAGATCCCCCTGCAGCCAGCTTGAATATATCCAACAGACCCCAGCACCCCTTGCCATTACCTACATTCAATCCTGGAGGCTCCCGGGTTCCAGATGAAAAAAAAACAAAACAAACAAAAATTCCCAACTCACTTACCAGCCGGCAACAAACCGAATTGACCCCAACAGTTCACATTAAAACCACGGGGGGTTAGTTTGCATACATTTGTAAATATATGGGTAAGCTGCCATGTCACTGCACCCCAGTCCTAACTATAATTTTGAGTCTACGGAGTTGCAGCACCTATATAATAATGGGGATAGATTAAGGGCAGGTATGCCTATAGGGAGCCCACCCCTTCCTTAAAGGTATGTGGACACAATGGACACCCAGCAATAGCACAGTGGCAGCGAAGATATCCAGTGCATCCCCTCACCAATTCACCAACAGAACAAAGAAATGGCAACCAACCCAACCTACAACTGGCCTTTGTAGCAAGCAGCACATGGAAGGGCAATGCATGTCAAAAAACAACAAACAAAAATTCCCAGCTCATTTACCAGCGAGCCTGTACTGTTGGTGAATGGGCTCACTGGATACCTTCGCTGCCACTATGCTACTGCTGGGTGCCCAGTGTGTCCCATTACCTTTAAGAAGGGGTGGGCTCCATCCAGGCATGCCTGCCCTCAATCATATATATATACCAACTTGGGAGACTCTAGAGTTAGGACCATGGTGCACTGGGGTGCCATGATGTGGCCACTGCAGCATACTTCTATATTTGCAAATGTATGCAAACTAGACCCCTTGGTTTTAATGTGAACTCTTGGACAGGGTTAGTTCGGTTTGTTGCAGCCTGCTGAAAAAAGGCCTTCTCTTCTCATTGGTACAGACACATGGTAGGGCTGACCAATGAGTTCTTTCCATTGCAGTCATTATGATGGATACTCACTCCAGGGCTGTGTATTGCAGTGCATAGAGTACGGACCTCTACACTGGCAGCACAGGGCATCATGGCAGCTATGTGCAGTGGGATCCAGAAGGGTGGCCGAGATATTTGAAGATAGCTCATCTTTTCATTGGAAAAATAAAGCACGGAGATACGGATGGATGGGGGAAGTTGCTTTGAATATCAAAAATGAATTAAATTAGCGTTTTTGGTTTGCGGTGCTCAAATGCAGTGCAGTTCCACTAAGTTTCAGATATTTTCCCATAACATCCTGCAGGCAGATATTGGTCTTTCTGTTGCCAACCACTGTACTCCGTGCCCTCCATCCCCCGTGTACTCTTTAATTGTGGATGTGCCTTTCACTATTTGCCTCATTGAAGATGATCATCAGGACAAAGACAGAGAAGGTACATTTTCCCACTGGGGACACGGAGCAATAAAAAAAAAAAAAAAAGAAGCATCTAACGCTTCTGCACTTTATCCAAAACTAAAATAAATGTTGCCTTTAAATACACTTTAATGCAGGTTGGGGATGCGGATAACATGACACCAAATAATAAGAGATGCAAATAATTTTAGAACACTTTTAATATATGGGGGGAGGGGGCAGCATGTTTGTCCCCTGGAGCTGGAGAAAAGCAGGTACTTCCAGGGAAGTAGGCACAGAGCTGCTGTGTGGGAGTAAAAAGGAGAGCCCAGTGTTGGGTCAGAATTTGTGGTCATCAGCGCTCCCTCCTTCAAAGTAAACAGGTATATAGATATTTTCTACACAGATTGGTCAGCATAGGTGTTGGGAGGGGGGATGGTACATTTTCAAGACTAGCTAGGTCTAGGCTAGAATTCTACTTTAAACAGTGATTTTGAGGGGGGGCCCAGCATATGAAAGGTAAGTATACCTTCCCGCTCTTAGGCTCCATTCACAGATAACCACAGCGATTGTCAGGCATTTTTATTTAAGCATTTTTGAGCATGTGCGCAAGCATTTCAGAAGAGTATTTCAAGCATTTTACACACGTATTCAGGTTTAGGCCATTTCTGTTTTAGCCAATGGAAAGCACTGGGTGAGGAAACCAGTTCTTACAGGCTAAAGAACGCCCGAAATGGACCTGAAAAACTGTTAAACTGCAGGCATTCCCAAGTCTATGGGGCCAAAAACACCCATATCTGAAAGTAGCTCATGTACAGTAGCTTTTGGAGCACCGGACTTCGAGATGCAGGTACCTTAAAGTGAAACTAAACCCAGGACCCTGCATTCGCTCTGTCCTCCCCAGACCCTGCATTCCCTCTATCCGGCCTCCCAGGACCCTGCATTCCCTCTATCCGGCCTCCCCGGACCATGCATTCCCTCTATCCGGCCTCCCCGGACCCTGCATTCCCTCTATCTGGCCTCCCTGGACCTCGCATTCCCTCTATCTGGCCTCCTTGGACCCTGCATTCCCTCTATCCGGCCTCCCCTGGACCCTGCATTCCCTCTATCCGGCCTCCCCAAACTCTGCATTCCCTCTATCCGGTCTCCACCGGACCCTGTATTCCCTCTATCCGGTCTCCACCGGACCCTGCATTCCCTCTATCCGGTCTCCCCAAACTCTGCATTCCCTCTATCCGGTCTCCACCGGACCCTGCATTCCCTCTATCCGGTCTCCACCGGACCCTGCATTCCCTCTATCCGGTCTCCACCGGACCCTGCATTCACTATATCCGGTCTCCACCGGACCCTGCATTCCCTCTATCCGGTCTCCACCGGACCCTGCATTCCCTCTATCCGGTCTCCCCAAACTCTGCATTCCCTCTATCCGGTCTCCACCGGACCCTGCATTCCCTCTATCCGGTCTCCACCGGACCCTGCATTCCCTCTATCCGGTCTCCACCGGACCCTGCATTCACTATATCCGGTCTCCACCGGACCCTGCATTCACTATATCCGGTCTCCACCGGACCCTGCATTCACTATATCCAGTCTCCACCGGACCCTGCATTCCCTCTATCCGGTCTCCACCGGACCCTGCATTCCCTCTATCCTGTCTCCACCGGACCCTGCATTCACTATATCCGGTCTCCACCGGACCCTGCATTCACTATATCCGGTCTCCACCGGACCCTGCATTCACTATATCCGGTCTCCACCGGACCCTGCATTCACTATATCCGGTCTCCACCGGACCCTGCATTCACTATATCCGGTCTCCACCGGACCCTGCATTCACTATATCCGGTCTCCACCGGACCCTGCATTCACTATATCCGGTCTCCACCGGACCCTGCATTCACTATATCCGGTCTCCACCGGACCCTGCATTCACTATATCCGGTCTCCACCGGACCCTGCATTCACTATATCCGGTCTCCACCGGACCCTGCATTCACTATATCCGGTCTCCACCGGACCCTGCATTCACTATATCCGGTCTCCACCGGACCCTGCATTCACTATATCCGGTCTCCACCGGACCCTGCATTCACTATATCCGGTCTCCACCGGACCCTGCATTCACTATATCCGGTCTCCACCGGACCCTGCATTCACTATATCCGGCCTCCCCGGACCCCGCATTCACTATATCTGGTCTCCCCGGACCCCGCATTCACTATATCTGGTCTCCCCGGACCCCGCATTCACTATATCTGGTCTCCCCGGACTCTGCATTCCCTATATCTGGTCTCCCAGGACCCTGCATTCACTATATCCGGTCTCCCAGGACCCTGCATTCACTATATCCGGTCTCCCACTGTACACACAACATGGAAATGCAATTATTTTAGTAGATATAAACTATATGTTAAATAACTTTTCTCAGCAGTATATAGCAGTCTTGTGACTTCTATCAGTTCTAGCAGAGCACTGGTTAAAGCTTTTAGGAAGAGTTTTCATTCTCCCCTGATTGTCTTATGAAGCTGCATGACCCCTGACCCTCTGTCTGGAGAGCATTGATTGGCCTTGTGCTGATCACATGCACTCTACCAAGAAAAAAAAAAAATACTCTCTAGCAATACCCACCAAACTGAGCGCGTGCAGAGTGACTCCTTGGGCTCTCTACTATCAGCAGATGGATTGGGGACAGTAGAAGGGGAGAATCAGAGAAGACAGGATTAAACAGCCTTTTTACACAATGCAGAGGATTAACCCCTTAGGTTCCACAGTGAGTACAACCAGCATGCTTTACTGCAGTGTTTCTCAACCTCTTTTCAGTCAAGGCACCGTTTAAAATTATGGACAGTCCTGATGCACCTTTTAGAATTATGAACAGTGTTTAGAATTTTAGAATGGGGTGCCTCAAGGCTGTGCATAATTTTAAAAGCGTACCAATTCTAAAATGTGAAAAACTAGTAATAGGTTTTTTTTTTTTATAATGCAGCAACGTCCACACACGTAGGACACCCAACATTAGAGGCGATTTATTCTTCCAGAGCAAATACACTTCTGCACACTGGTACTGACTAGTATTCCAGGGTTTCTCTTCTCCCATCCATCACTGAGCTAATGTGACCCCCAATAGTGAAGGAGAGGATCAAACTAGCATGCTGTGCAGGCAACTGACATCCACCTTACCAACTGATGATGTCATTGGTTGTCAGGATGCCGGTGGCTAGAATGTTGTAATGGTGTACAATGAAAACCTGTGGCTTTGGGTCCCTAAAAGGCAGGCTTGTTCCACCCGCTGGCTTGTGTTCAAGTTTTGGACAATTTTTAGACATTTTGCCAAAGCACCCCTGAAGAAACCTCAAGGCACCCCAGTTGAGAAAGGCTGCATATGTGGACGGATTTTACTGTTGTGGGTCTAGTAACACTTTAATGCTCATATGTGAATGGCCACTATTACATACCATGGGATTTTGTTATTATTATTATACAGGATTTATATATTATTATACAGGATTTATATAGCGCCAACAGTTTGCTCAGCGCTTTACAATATAACGGGAGACAATACAGCAACCATACAGTTCAATACAAGAGGGATAGGAGAGCCCTGATCCTTGTTTGATGAACATTCCACAGCTACAAAATGCACGGGGTGATTAGGGCCTAACGCAAAACTGCGATAATGCCCAATTTGGCAGTATATTGTTTGACTGGTTGGTGTAGGGACACAGGACCCCTTAGCCTCCATATTAACAGACTCCAGAATATGTGAAATGGACAGCCATAGGTAGTTCCAGGGTGGGGCTCCTAGGGTGCAGAACTGGTCCCGGGATGGCTATTAGAAGAGCTGCTTGGGCTGGCCCATTTCCATTCTGTCTATGGCCACTTTTCAGCGTGATGGGGAAATACTTTGAACAAAGTAACTATAAAGTTAAACAAACTAAACTATAAATTAATATACCGCACATAAAACACACTGAAACAGTCTTTAAAGGGTTTTACAATCCTCAATTATCCTCTAAGTACCAGAGATTAAAGGAATGACATTTTACAAAGCGTTCTAAAGAGAAGGCTCAACAATAAATACATCTAATTGTTCATTAAAGCAAAGACAGAATTCCTGACAATTAATAAAGCTGCAATATGGAGGATACAGATTATAATAGGTACAAATGCAAACTGGATCTCAGCTGTCCGCTGTAGGAAATGACAACTGGAATCTGATTGGTTGCAGGGGCTTTACATTAAGCCTCATACACACAATGAGAAGATCGCATGAATGATCATCCATTTTTTTTTTGCATGCTAGTCTCGAAAATGAAGAGGTTACTAAAGTTACAAAAAATTCTTGTATGACAGAACACAACATCGGAAGTGATGTAATATATTATATTGTATGTATTCTTTTGTTTCTGAGCATGCGCAGTCTTGGTGGATTTTTCTCCGCCGAATACTGTGCTAATTAAGTGAAAATCGTGCATTCTGGTATCATACAAAAATTTTTTTTGTTTGTCCCTTTGAATAATTTTGCTTGAACTGTCGTGATTGGCTCTGGAAAGCTGTATACGAATGATCAGATTATTGGGCGATCGGTTCGAAAGCTGTATTTTTCATCTGATTTTCTCATTGTGTGTAGCAGGCATTACCTCCAATGACATGTCAGCTGGGCTGCAGACAATGACGTGTCCTGTGTCTGTCTGCTGACAGCATTCTGTGCTTTTCCCTGGCCCTGGGGGCACCTATTTTCCAGTTGAAAGGAACCTGTATATGACAGGGCAGCCTCCTTACCACAGGAAGTGGGAAAACAACGCAAATTATGTATAGGGTCTCTTTGATTCCTACACTTTGATGCTTCTAGGACACCTTTAAAGTGTCTCCATTTATCTATGTGTCCTCCTTCTACTACCATTAAAGAGAACCTGTTATTAACTCACGTCACATGAACCAAAAAGAACATGTCAGCATTGCCAAATCACAAGAGTTAAACATTTTCTTGCCTTTAATACCAAGTCACAGAAAATATGGTCAGAATTTGCTCTCTGCCTATCAATTGCATGGTTGGAGTTTGAAAAAAAATCATCTCTCTACACTCTCTAATTATGTTACTCATACAGTCATTATCAATGAGAAAAGATAACTAGCGGGAAGCCTATGTAATTGGCATATATGGCTGAACCCACAATTATAAAGTAGATACAAAAACATTTAATACAATAAACACGCAATATATATTCTGTAGATCTTTTTAAATGGTTTTCTAAAAAATAATTACAAAGTCAAATAATCCTCATTAGGGGAAACTATGTTTTTTTTTTTGTCTCTTTGAATGATCTTTTTTTTTTTACATTACTTGTATAGTCTTTAGTTTAGAAATGAGCATTCACTAGAGGATGCATCTGTGACCATCTGATCCTACAGAGCCTTCTTCTAAGAGAAGCGGGCACTGTCTGCTTTTGAACCCAACATATCCTTTTTGTGATAAAACATATAAATCCCACATAAAACCCAAAATTAAAATCTTACAAATATAATCAATTTATACAATCAAAATAAATATTAATCACTTAAACTTAAAAATTGTGTTCAAATTAAATTCACTCCCAATTGTGTCTCAAAATCACAAAAAATAAAATTACATAAAATAAAATCCCAATGTGTCCAAAACCCAAGTTCCAAATTTTTTCACTTCAATCCAGTTAAAAGGAAATTGATCCTAAATATTCCATGAAAACCTCAAAAAAAAGAAAAAGAAAATTCATAGTGTATTATCTTTTTTAAATATATGTACTTCACTCCACCATGTTTCACGGAGGGGATGGTGTGTTCAGGGTGATGTGCAGTGTTAGTTTTCCACCACACATAGTGCTTTGCTTTTAGGCCAAAAAGTTCAATTTTGGTCTCATCTGACCAGAGCACCTTCTTCCACATGTTTGCTGTGTCCTCACATGGCTTCTCGCGAACTGCAAATGGGACAACTTATGGCTTTCTTTCAACAATGGTTTCTTCTTGCCACTCTTCCCTAAAGGCCAGATTTGTAGAGTGCATGACTAATAGTTGTCCTGTGGACAGATTCTTCCACCTGAGCTGTGGATCTCTGCAGCTCCTCCAGAGTTACCATGGGCCTCTTGGCTGCTTCTCTGATGAATGCTCTCCTTGCCCGGCCTGTCAGTTTAGGTGGACGGCCATGTCTTGGTAGGTTTGCAGTTGTACCATACTCTTTCCATTTTCGGATGATGGATTGAACAGTGCCCCGTGAGATGTTCAAAGCTTTGAATATTTTTTTTATAACCATACCCTGCTTTAAACTTCTCCACAATTTTATCCCTGACCTGTCTAGTGTGTTCCTTGGCCTTTGTGATGCTATTTGTTTGCCAATGTTCTCTAACAAACCTCTGAGGGCTTCACAGAACAGCTGTATTTATACTGAGATTAAATTACACACATGTGCAATTTACTAATCAGTGGGAAATCACATCCACAAGAGTTTAGTTAGGGGTATCAGAGTACAGGGGGGCTGAATACAAATGCACGCCACGCTTTTCATATATTTATTTATAAATAATTTTGAAAACCGTTGATCATTTTCCTTCCAGTTCACAATTATGTGCCACTTTGTGTTGGTCTATCACATCAAATCCCGATAAAATACATTTACATTTTTGCTTGTAACATGACATAATGTGGAAAATTTCAAGGGGTATGAATACTTTTTCAAGGCATTGTGTTAGACACATTGGGGTAGGGCAGCACAGTGGCTAAATGGTTAGCACTTCCGCCTGGCAGTACTGGGGTCGTTGGTTCAAATCCCAGCCACGGCACCTACTGCCTGGAGTTTGCATGTTCTCCCTGTGCCTGCATGGGTTTCCTCCGAGTATTCCAGTTTCCTCCCACACTCCAAAGACATGGAGGTAGGTTAATTGGCTCCTGTCTAAATTGTCCCTAGTATGTGTATGTATGAATATGAGTTAGGGACCTTAGATTGTATGCCCCTTGAGGGTTAGGGACTGATGTGAATGTACTATATATGTAAAGTGCTGTGTAAATTGACGGTGCTATATAAATACCTGCAATAAATAAATAAATTTACTATAACTGGAGCACTCAGAATCTGGTGCAGTTGTGCATGGTATCCAATCATCTTCTAATCTCAGCTTGTTTAATTAAGCTTTGACAATAAAACCTGGAAGCTGATTGGTCACTATGCAGAGCTGCGCCTGATTTTGCACTCTCCAGTTTTAGTAAATCCCCCCTTATATTGTTACAACTAGTGACAGATTCTCTTTATTGAAGGATTTGGCCTAGTCCAGCTCCTTGTCTTGTCCTTATGAGGTTTCCAGAATGTGGACATCTGTTTTTTTTTTTTTTTT